CCCCCCCCCCACCCCCCACGTTCACAGAAGAAGCAACAAAATGTTGTGTAACCAAGCTGTATGCTGAGTAGAAGAGCTGTATGACTTTCAAATCTCCACAAATATTCCAACAGTATTTATTATGTTGTATTCAATTGTGCAAAGTTTTCAATATTTTCGCACGACTGTTTGATGCACATCACATGGGCAAAAAGGATTGATGGTAGATCATTTCCATTATGATAAAGAACAACCCTCGGACTTAACTTTGAAGAACCAGCGAACAGTCGCCAATCCTCAAGCTTATGTTCGTGTCCTTGTGTAATCATCAGTTCTTGAATAGGATATGTCATCATCCCTTGGAAAGAAACTTTACAAGTTCTTTCTCACGGTTACGAAGAATCATCCATCCTTGTAATCTGGAACCAAATAGTTCTCCTCGATGGACAGTTTAAGCCTTATACAAGATAATTTTATGCAACCTGGGTTTTTATGAGTTTGATATTACATGTTCTGTATAACAATCCATGTCATCGGAATCCATCTCTGCATCATCTGAGGGCTCCGTGACTCTGGTCGTGTCAGGTAAAAGTGTGTCACTGGTCTCAAAGCTGATGGATGACAGACTTAGGTATTTGATAGAGCATTTGTTTGTAGATTTGTGTCGAGAAACATAGTCAACTGAAAGTAGCAGTTGGAGATAATGGTCTTTCGGTTTCCCATGTACAGCAAATGGCATAGAACGTTATTTTCCATCAATGCAGCTCTTCGGGTCCATGACATGCTTTGAACAACATATGAGGAGCCCAATTTTTGGTCTGGTTACTGATTTTGCATCTAATATGGTTCATGTGCCCTCTTTTTGATAGGCATCTTTGTTCTCTTATGAGACTTGTGAGTGAAATGACCACAAATGTAGCAAGACATGTTTCCGTTGTTAACACACATTCAGCGACAGAAAATATGTCTCTTTCGGTGGCATTAGCATCTACATTCAGCAATATTGATATACACCTTTAAGGTTAGACGCCTTCATTATGCTGATGTTGGTGCTATTATGCATGGGGTTACCAATGAAATAAAAGTTTGCACTGAAAAATATTTCATTTAATTAAATATTCCCATTCATATAACTTCACTTGTAATGTACAGTGAAAAATACAGGTACATCACAAAACCAAGGTTGATGGACGGAAGTGAGGAATCAGAAGTAGAAGTCTGTAAGGTTGGGCTTAGTAAATCCAGGAAGCATTATCGTCGTTTGCCAGTGTGCTGTATGATGGCATACTTTTATGAATTCACGGGAAATATCTCAAATCAACTAAATTCTGCCATCAAACCAGGTGAATGTTTAGTCTTATGTGATTTATTGAGTTTTTTTGTTTATTATTTTACAAGACAAAGTTGATGGAACGTTACTGAGACGTGACTCGTGAAAATTTACCACTTGTTTCAGATTGCCAAAAATATTATGCAGTTAATCTTTCCAGTGACATTTAGTGATTTTCCTTAAAACATTACTAATCAGCCACTGAATCTCTGATATTTCTGTAGCTCAGTATAAAGACCAGAAATATTTTGTCGTCATCACATTCTACCAGAATGACTTCAGAGTCAGCAGAGTGACATTTCCAAGGGGAGTGCATGTGTTGATCTTGATGATAGTGTTGCTACTGTAGTAAAACTTGTCAGTTTTTGCATTGATCTTATTTAGACCAAATTATACTCAGAGGTAGTTTTTTGACTGGACACATTTGAATTTAACCAACATGAATGTTATCCTTCCAACAGAAGAACAGTACAAGGAGGAAGACAAACTTATTAGAAAGATTTTCAGCAGTCACTGCTGTTTGTGGAAGCTGGAAACTAATGCATTTCTGTCATTTATAATAGCAAGCATGTTTCCTGCCTCAGAGTTCATCCAGTGCGGCGTTGATGTCTGACTCGAAAGACAATATGCAGCTTAAGACATTAATGGGCTTCAATTCTAAAGGATTTTGACGATGGTGAATTACACTTAAAATTATTCATCGCCTGGACTTTTTCCATCGTCCTTATTTAAAAGAAGAAACCAGAATGTTTTGGAAACTGGCTCTGTTTTTGTCTTCAGGACTAGTTCTATCTGACGGACCCAACTGAGTAGGTACCTCTCGCCTGAAGATGGAAACAGAGCCATCTTCTGAAACATCACGGATTCTTTTAAACAAGGACGATGGAAGAAGTCCAGACGATGAATAATTTTGAGGTCATTGGATTTATTACACTGTGTGCTGTCTTAGATAAGAGAACAAATGGGGTGGAGCACACTTTCCTTCATCCTCATGGTCAGTCACCATCTCTCATATGTCCTTTGTACTTAGATATCCTAAATTTCCATCACTCATCCCAACTTGGGCCCAAGAACTGCAGTGGCGTGTTCAGATACGTTAACAGATGTTGAGACCAAGTCAGCCTGTGACAAGCTTCAACTGTGAATTACCCACTGAAGCAGACGATTGCCTTCTGAAGGTTCTGTGTAATTATATTTTATAATAATTTATAACTCTTGATCACAGGGCTGTCCCAGCATTGCTAAAATATTAAATGGCGCTCAGAGTACACTAAACAAACCTTAATGGTTCAAAATTCAAGGTCAAAGGTCAAATTGGTTTACCTTCGTAGCTTTTCTTCGAGTAATAAACCTGTTAGGTGTTTGCCCTAAATTCCTGAAGTTCAGAGATTTTGGACCACCACAATTTCAAAAATATTTTTACCAATTTTCAAGTAAATTAGTTGTCAGGCTGTGAAATGTATTGAACTGGCATGGAGTTCCTCAATTATGAAATAACAGTACGTAAGTTCTCATTACTCAAATGAATTTATTCAGAAAATGTGTTGTGTCTTTAAATATGTACACGTGTCCTAGTGGAGGAATGTGAGGAATCATTTTGTATTGAAGTGCAGAGAATATGCTTTCAGCAGTAAACTGTACGGTGCGTCCTTAAGATGTTTATATCCTATGGACGTTTATAAAACATGTTAGGGTATCAATAATAAAATGTTGTTTAACGGTGATATGTTGTTTTGCAATCAGATGGAATTAGTGTTTTTCTGTTTAATATTGTTACTCAAAGACTTTGTTTGATATTTGAGCAGTAAAAGTGGATCCTGGAGTGCTAACAGATGGAAGTACGAATGTGTTGATAAAATAATTTCAAAGTGGATTGCTGACATATTTATTCAGTTCAGCAATGAGTTTGATGCTGATGGAAGAGTACAGGGTGTGCACAAAAGTATGTGCTGTTAAGATATCATAGTGAAAGTGCTTATTCATGTGACTGCTGTCTGTAAGCCGGCGTTCATAATATTCTCTGCAGTGCAGACTGGAAGCCATGTTATGGATGAGGAGACATTGCCACCTTAAATTTTTGTGAGTGTTTTGTGCCTAGAAGAGAAAGTTCCCGGCTCTTGGATAGGAAAGCAGAGTTCAATTTGATGCAATTAGTAGAAGCCAGGGAAGACATCGGGTTTATTATTTCCTCTGGCTAACAATTAACCCTTTGAAGCCGAACGTCGTGTGCGTAATATTTATGAATTCATTCCGTAACGCAGGAAAACATACTTTTACGTTACAAAGAACATACGGTTGATGCTGTTGAAGAATGTGTTGCCTGTTTACAGTGAGTACAATTAACGTCAGTGCAAAATGCAGAGTTGCTGAGTGTTGAAGCAAGTGTTGCATTGGTTAACACTCCGGTTATTGTTTGCATGTGATGAAGGAATTGTGCGATTGGATTATGTGATACAGCAACGACGTTGTTGTTTGTATTATTGTTATCGTCGACATTAATCCTGCATTTACGCATGACTTGGCTTCAAGATCAGGAAATGTTTATTCTCTGTGCGTGCGTAGAGAATAAACATTTCAGATTACGGAGTAAAACTCCCGCTATTAAATCGAAAATTCGAATGATATTCGTACAGATTGATCTGATTTCTTGTATGAATCCCTCCGACTTCACACTTCCAGATACCCGACTGAGAAAAGAGAGAAGAGATGACGTTCGACTTTTTCTTAACTGTATTAAGCAGTCAACTTCACGTTCGGGCCGTTTTGATTTGCGCCGATTCAGAATAACGCCGATTTTGAAACCAGAAAGTCAAAAAGTGGGAAAAATATTATTTATAACGTTTTGAAATGTGTCTCGTACAGATTCTTATAATAAATCGTAATTCTTACATCGCTGATTTTGAATAAAAATTATAAATGCAGTCATCTCTGCAATTACGTATGTTTCGTTAACGCGAATTTGCTCCAATGAGATCGATGAATCGGTAAAAGCTGTTTGTGAGCACTAATTTAATCTCTGCGGAGATACCGGGGTTATTTTTTACTACGCGATTTTCTGTAGGTCGGCGTCTTACATGAATGCAACTATCGCATAACAGCAGAGATGACTGTACACATCAATCACATGAAAGAATCACAGTCAATCGCTGGGACCAACGAATTAAAATATATTTTTTAAATTCCCTTTATTTTATTTACGTTATTTCAGAGCTTTAAAACTAATGCCATTGTATTACTCGTCAATGTTTGGGTGCTGGGAACACACGTCATTGACTTCACATTGATTTACATTATAAGAGAGTTTAAATTTACGCCGGTTCGTCAAGGAACGCATCCCCGGCGTAAATCGAGGGCTACCTGTATTCGAATGTTTCTACCGGGAATTAATCAGCCGAGAGAAAAGATCTTACGAACTAGAATTGTGTTCGTTGTGTAACAGATTCCGATAGAGGAATGGAATTGCTTGAATCTAGCTTGTCAACAATTAGAAGGGAAGTCTTAACGTGGACGAACAGGTGTCTGCTGGATTAATAGCTTTCATAGACCGTTGAGGAATCACACACTGGGCCAAAGTCTCTAAATGCTGTGATAATCATTGATTAACTTTAAGTATTATTTCTGTGTCATTAGCTTGTTATTTTTCTTTAGTATCTTGAAATATAAATTGAAAATGTCGTGAAAAATGCAACGTAACATTACATTAAAAAAAATATTCTAGTAATTGCGCGTATTTGAATTCCGAAACGAGGAACAATGCATCTTTAAATGTAAAGGAAAATATGTCAAAAACATATCAACACGAATTACAAGGCCTACATAGTTCTCACGTGTGTAAGTAGATGGTGATTTATGAGTTTTTTAGAGTTTAGTCAGATGCTAAGGCAAATCTTTCTCTCTCGTAGAAGAATCAGCTAAATGATCCCGTTTAACTCTCCTTGTTCTTTGTGGGGAATTTCGCGGACACCTCAGTGCCTTCGCCAATCAAATATGCTCGGCACTGTGCCATTCTCTGTGCAAATTTAGGTCCTCGCAGTGACGAACTTAAAGATAGTTAACTAACTTTGTAACAGACTGTAGGGCACAACATCCCAGAAGACCTTCTTTGTCTGTGTACCGACCCATCTTGTTCATGAACGAAGCTGCAGAACAGAATCCGCTTTTACTAAGTTCTCAGCTGAGATACTTATAGAAACATTCAGAAGTCTGTGAAGAATTCGCCACTTGGTGGCTCGTGTGTGACAACATCCCAGAAGACCTTCTTTGTCTGTGTACCGACCCATCTTGTTCATGAACGAAGCTGCAGAACAGAATCCGCTTTTACTAAGTTCTCAGCTGAGATACTTATAGAAACATTCAGAAGTCTGTGAAGAATTCGCCACTTGGTGGCTCGTGTGTGAGGGCGCCTGACGTACAGTCATGTAAAGCTCACAGTATTAAACTAATATTTCGGAAAGTATCTCATTCATTCGCATGAAAACGCTAGTCACCTTGACGTAAAACGCCTTAAATCGCAGTCGACTGCCTATTTGCTCTATTGTTTAGTGACAAAATATTTCTGCATTGTCTGTCACGGTCTCCTGGGTTTTAGAGAAACTTGCTGTCTCCATCTTCAGCAGCGTATTTACGCCCGTTCGTGGTTAGGTCTCAAACTGCCGAACCAAAATTACGTTGACACTGCATTTTGAATTTTATCGGGAGGAAGTTACTAGCACTTTCTTGTAAAAGTATGATTTTTTTAATTTTCAGAGTGCTCTGACTATTCTAAAACGACTAGAGCAGATCAACTCAGCAGTGGGGTCGATCCCGGAAATAAAGTCCACTCCTGCTTCGCGTTCAGGTTCAAATTTCGGTAGGGAGACAACTTTTTCATTGCTATCTTTTAAGACAGATGCTGCATTGATGTTCAGGCTACCCCGTGCCATTCCTTCTTCCTTCCCAACACAGTTTCCGGAATGATTCCGCAGTTTGGACGTCGTCACTGAATGACCAGTCAAGAAACAGCAACACGATGTCGGGTCAGAGTTAATTAATGAAATACGCAGGCTTATGCAAAGCTGTAGTTGCCATTAGTCGAAGCGTCTCCTTCCTTTTCCTTAACGTAATACAAACATGGCCCTTGGAAAACTTATCCGTCACTCATTTTTCTCAATCGCGTGCTCCCTACTGCCAATTGGATAGCTCCCAGTGTAGGAGTGGTACTCGATGTAACTGAGGAATTCGAAACTTTAATTACTTCTCGTTGCTAATTGTAATTAGTGTTGTGTGTTGAAGTGGACCCAGTCAGTCAACTGGAAGTCGCGGATTGGCTAGGATAAGGAAGGGCTTGATTGATATTCCGAAAGTTGGGTGGATTTTGTTCGTGGCGGACGATCAGTAAGAGAGGAAATTTTGGGTCAAAATGAGGTCTGATATGCGATGGATGCTGAGATCTAAAGAGAAGAAACACATCGAAAACTACGAGCAATGCCGTGAACACTTGGTTTGTGTCGAATGACAGCGTCACTGTCATCGAAGCTTTCGAAACGTCGAATTTCATGAGCATCGGATGGAAGTTGAGATTGGCCGCATCTGAACATGTATCGTCTGCCGATTTAGTCAGTAACCGACTGATGTGCGTGTGAAAATCCGAATTTTCATAGCAAGTTTTTAGCCCGAGTGCGTCGACTTCACTGAAAACCCGAACGAATTGTTTATGAGTTGAAATACAACGTAGGTCATTTCCGGATTGGCTTCTGTACCTAAAGATTGGATTTTATCCACAAGTACTGTGCATGTCATTGCCGAATTTTGTCCAAATTAATTTGCCGATGCTCCAGAGACTCGTCACTCGTCAAGACGCGAGATTTCGGATCTGAAAGGAGACTTTTGCTCATGTTTTCGAAATGTATCTGCGCCACTTTCTTATAGGCCAGGTTTGTACACCCCTGTGTCGGAATGTAACTTCATTGTCACAGTAAAATAAAACTTTATTTTTTTCTTTTAATTTTCTGACTGATTAATGAACAGAAACATCTTACGTGCCCCTCACACGAAAGGTTAGGTTAGGTTGAGATAGTAGCGGAAACGTGGAGTTGCATTATCTCCGCGATTAGACTGTTTAAATCGGAACTCCGTCAAAGTTCGTCTGAAACGTCGAACTTCGTGTCCGCGGATTACGTCAGTGATTAAAGCAGAAACGTAAGAATTCGGATCCGAACTTCGTGTCCGCGGATTACGTCAGAAACGTAAGAATTCGAATGTGTTGCTTCTGTTTTAAGTAAAGTACGGATTTTCCGTCAGCATCCGCGAAACAAATGACTACTGATGCCCTCTTAATCGTCAAAAAGATGATTTTATTGGGCTCGTTAATGCGTTTGGAGGAGATTTTGTCTTTTTCGTATATGTTTTATCAGGCGCGTGGCATTGTATCTTCTTAACTTCTTTCTTTCTGTTTTATTCTGCGTCGCATGTAGCCTGATTTATAGGTGTCATATAATTTTTCTTGGAATGTACGTACCAGGAGTCATGGACGCAGGGAATTAGTAAGTCTTAACTAAAGTGATTAGTTTGTTAAGGTGCCGACATGAACAACGTGTTAATGCGCTGTTACGTTGGAGCTCGCCGCCAGTGGATCACTGATACGTGCAGTCACTGCAAGCTTATCTATCGCCTGTCTCAATAGCCTATTTATTAATATTACTGTCGGTGCATGACAGAAAACATTGAAGATATGCAACTTTCATATAAAAATATGTTAAATGACATCGGAGCGAATAGAGTGTTGAATAATTTCTTGCAACACGGACGGAAACAAAATTTTCAGCGCAGTAGGGTTGTGAGTTTTGGTGATTACATGATGAGTCCGCTATTTAGGTCACCAGGAAATGTAATGGTTTAGTTGTCCGGGCGAAATTACCAAGAGCGCACGTAGTCTTGTAACAGACTTCACTGGCAGAGTCTGGACATTTCGTCTCCCGATGTTTCTGCCCCAGGTCAGAACAAAGAATTTCTGCTCCTCGCGGCTTATGTTACGCTGTGAGTCGCTCGAGGTTTTCTCCGTTATGCAACCACGATGCCTTAAACAGACCACGACTGGTTGTTGGTCCCCTGTCGTTTCAGAATGGTCGTTCATGGTCGTAACACTTCATTCGACCTTTGAAGTCGATTAAGGCCTAACAAATGGACTAAGCAATCTTCCTACTGCAAACTACTACTATTTCTTCCGGGTTGTAGCTCCGTGTAGTCTGGTAGATGGCTGACTTGTCGCTTTTTTTTCCAAAGGGAAGACGAAATGCTGCCACTTTTGTCATCAGGGTATCCGATTTAGCCAAAGCTGCTTATCTAGACATGTAAACTCGTTTTGTTTATGGTATTTTTAGTTTCAAATTCATACGATTTGAAGTTACGTCAGCAGTAGTATTTAACACCTACTGCTGCAAACACTTGTTTATTACAAGTGCATGTTGCAAGCCTGTATGTGCCTCTGACTTCTGAACTTTCGAATGTACATGGTTATCTTCAGTGTCGATAATTTTTTTTCGGAACTCGGCTTATACATTCTGATCAGAAGTGAATTATGCGTGACTTCAGTTTTTTTATGTTGTAGAAATAAAGTGTAATCTACAGGAATTGCATAAGAAGACCGTGTCTACTTCAGAAATCGATTTCACCAAGGAATTCAAAACTTCAGACGGTCATAATACGGAATTTTTACAAAATATCGCCCCATGCCAAGGGACGTCGTACCGGAAACGGGACTTGCTGGAGTATTATATACCACACATGGCGGCGATCTTACAACGTGATCAGTTGGCGGAGAATGGTCTGCATCAGTACTTTTATTCTGACACAGCCGGTGTTATCGGTCAGCTGAATGCTCGTAAGTAACTGCTTTCACTGTCATCTTCAGCAAAAGTAAATCGAAGAAGTGTTAGCCGAATTCCTCCTGCACAACTCGCTTTGTATCTTAAGACGGAGGGCCTCTGTTTCTCGGGTCACCGGCTGCTTGATTCTGAATATTGTATATTCGTTTGAAAGTTTTTAGAATCTTTTAAGTCATGGGGAAATTCTCTGGAACTTCGTAAACAGATGTTACTGTGTATGTTTCGAAGTCATCTTGTAGCAAGACTTCGACTTATCCATTTTATTCCTTTGCGTACACGAAACATCCCTCGGTTCTCATTTCTCGCCGAATTATTTGCCCAGTTCTTAAAGTAGCACCACGAGCTTCGTCACTGTTATGTTGTGTCACGCCGAAGACAAAAGTTTTCTGCACGGGCGAAAGTTTTACAATTTCACCCGGCCCCAGCCCGAAGGTAAATATGGGGTTTCCCCCCCCCCCCCCCCACACACACTTTTCTTATGCATCGGCGCACTTGCCTGAACGTATTCCTGCATCTGCCTTAGGGATGAAGTGTAGTTGACCTCTGTCACGACATGTAGGAAGCAGGAGTCGTCGTTTTGTTACTTGGAATAAAATGCACGTAACAAAATATTTATCTTCTTCAAGGTTACAGAGATTGCAGCAATTTTAGATCGAGCCCGCAACATATTTCCGAAAACTGTCATGGCAGAATGCTCAGAAAATGAAATTAAGAGGAATACTTTTGAAATAACAAACAATTATAGGCCTGCTTCGACCAGAAAATGCATTGATCCGTGGACGGAGATGTTTGCAGAAATTAATTTGATTAAAGAAAATCAATACAACTTGAAAGAATCTTCAAGGGAGACAAACACTCTTTTAAGGATTAAAATTTTGGTCAGTCAACAAATTATTGAACAGGCAGTGATTCGTATTTATGTTGATTATACCGGTTTCGAACCCAGTACGCATAGCAACAAGGAAGGCATTGTACGACGAAACACAGAACGAAATGCCATTTCGTGACTGCGCGTGTGGAAATTCTCGTCAGCGATGGAGGCGCGTCTTCTGAGACCAGTGGCCCATTGCAGTTACCAGACATGAACTGATTGAACGTACGAGGATTTTGTATCAGCGCCAGAATAACAGGACGTCGAGTAAGGTGGAAGGATGGAACTCACCCGTACCCCAAGAATATTATACGTAATGGGAGACCGATGAGACGGGCCTGCTTATAGCTCATGTTCTCAGCCATTTTCCTCGGAAATTGGCGTACTTCGCCAATAAAGGCAAACCGCGTGTATGTTTGTATGCGCCCTTCGTCTTCCGTACTTTTCATCTTCCAAAACCTCACACCGGTTTCATGTTTATTTTATTGGGTTTTTTTGGAGGGTCAACTAGAAGAAGTCAAGCGAAGAACCCCCTTTGTGTTTTGTACTGTTCTTCGCTGTTGCCATCCACACGAGTTTCTTACAATGTCAGATTGTATTTTAGCGCCATGTCTCCTTGCAAGGGGTACCATCAGCAATTATACAATTATCACATTTATTTACCCGAGTTTTCCTCCGGGGGCTTCCCCGGTTTCTCCGTGGCATCCCATTCACACACAGAAGAAGGCAATGGCAAACCACTTCTGGATCATCTGCCAAGAACGTATATGAACAGGTCCCAGTCCGAGAAAAGGATGGAAGGATCCTGTTCATATGGACCTGTCGTCACACAGAACACTAAATAAATAAAAATAAAATTGACAAACGACCACGCACCCAACAGAGTAACACAACAACCAATTATGGGTGTGCAGTGCTTTGGTGATGACACTGTAACTACAGTGCGTAGCAATTAGCGTACTTAATTTAATGTTTTAGTCATTAAGTTTTATTATGATTTGTAGTCGAGACGCTAAAGTGGACACTTGCAGATATCTAATAATTACTGCGACTTCACATGTGCAAATCGCGTCATTGAAACGGATACCCGCGAGAACACGTTCAACCACGAACCACTTTTGTCGATATCTTTAGAATTTGATAATATAACAGGTTAAAGGCGCGTGGATTTTATTAATGCCATCAAACAAGTTCCAAGGAGTGATATCTGATGGTGGGGAAAATTTAGCCCGAAACATGCCGGAAGGATTTTATGAGTATCGCTGATTAGCTGTCAGCACCGAATTTAAATGTTTGTATTAAATGAAAATCAAGACCAGTGAGGTATGAAAAATAGCTGATAACGCATTTGCCCTCCAAAAATGGATCGATTTTTTTTTTTACATTCCTAGTCGACGGAGAGCGCCTGCAGCTGGCTGTCACCTTTTTGGTACGTCGACATGACCCACCCACCAGTCACATGACATCGAAACACGTAGCGGTGACGTACGAAATCTGCATTTTCGTATCGGGCGACTTTGGCCAGGCAGGAGTTTAACTTCGCGTGTTGATCCATCGTTGGCGGCTTTTATGACTTCCTGGGCTTCGAGTTACGTAATGGACCGTTCATCCTTCCCGAAGAATGTGTACTTTGCTGTCTTAGCGTTGGCACGCGACATTTTTACCCTGTGTGTAATTCTCTTAGCTTTCTTCAGATTTCTTAATACCTGGAACACGCTTTCGCGGTGAACCACACGCCCCCACACACAAAGTCACAGTCGCCTTCAGACAAAGTGACCGCAACCCGTCTAGTTTCTCCTCCCAGACACCCATTCAACAAAAGTTCTTTTCTTAAAGGACAAATTGCCGCGTGCCAGTTAACAATCCCAGCTGTGCGTTTCCTTCGCGGATTTTTCTCTCTCCAAACGACGGGCAAGGGATGATTTCTATGCCTCCTCAACACTTCCCTCTTTGGTTGGTTTGCGACCAAATACAGTAAAAATCTTATGGACAGTCCGAAACGTTGAACGTTTGTTCCAAACTGATGTTGGCCTAAGCCGATTTTAAGCCACAGTTGCATTTCTCTTCTCTAGCTGCAAAGCAGAACACGTGAACGTCAACGATAATTTGGAAACATTATTGGAATATTTGGATCTAACTCTATCTAGTAGATAAATTCCCCACTGATACATTACCATGCTCAGAACAGCCCAGGACTGGATCTTATATAAACATTTAATAACATGTTAGATATTTACGATGGAGTGTAAAATAGAGTTTATGAACTCAAGACGTTATCGAAAACTCGTTGAGAAATCAAGCAGAAAGGAAAATTTTCAGTAAATATTTACGACACAGAATATGATAGATGGCGCCAAAGAATTTACGAAAGGAAAACATGTCAGTGCAGTCATACAGCAAAGATATTCCTGTGTCACAGAAAATTTGTTGATGGTTCCGTCACAGTCAACTACAGGCTTCTTTCTGTTCTGAAGAAACCACCCGATGCACGAAACACGACGGCTTTTTCTGAAGGCGAATGCCCAGGGAATATCAGTCAGATAGACAACTTTAAATAGGTCATGAAGTGTGTTGATCACGATAGCTAAAATTTTTTTTAATTCTGACGACAGGTCCATATGAACAGGATTCTTCCATCCTTTTCTCGGACTGGGACCTGATCCAGAAGTGGTTTGCCATTGCCTTCTTCTGTGTGTGAATGGAGTAATTGTTGGGATGCCACGGAGGAAAACTCCGTGTTGCCTAGACCACGGCCTTGCCCAACACAAGTTATAAATTTGAGCACCACCGGGAATTGAACCCGGGACCCCAGGCTTACAAGCCCAGCGGTCTAGACCACCGTGGCGGAATAAATACGTCTATACGGAAAGGAAGTTTATATATTGGCTTTATTCTAAATATTTCCTTTATACAGGCTTTACAATTGAGTAAAGTTTGATTAAGACTTTGCTTATTTAACTTGAATTAGTTACGCTTAAGATGGGTCTGTGGTAGTTGAATGTAATGTAACGTTTCCAAGGTAACAACAATTCCGAGTAAACACGGCGTTCCCTAGGTACACTTGTTACAATTTTCGTTACACTTTTTTGCCGAATGACCCTTCCTTATAGACGTATTTACGTCAAAATAAACTTAAGATTTTGTAAGTGAGACTCAGATATCTCTCTAAATTTTTGTGTGTCGCGAACCTTTTCACGAACACCGGGGCCAGCTTTGTACCTTGCAAAAGTTTTGTATTTTATGAAAATGTAATTGGTGCCTACGATCCTAACCCACTCACTGCCTCGTGTTTGTTGGCGAGCTTACTCATTGCTGCGTGGAGTATCCGCGCCTGATTGTCTGCTGGATGTAGAAATCACGACGCAAAACATTTGAATCACAAGTTCGTAGCCTCTGCATTGCACAGATTTCATCCACTTTTTATTCATTGTGTGAATCTCTACTAACGAGCAGAGGCGTATCTGTTAACGATGCATCTCTCAACCAACAGAAAGCACGTGTTTCGATTTGTTTTTATTCTTCCTACGACCTTTCATGAAATATTGGCATTCGAGGTTAAAAGATTAGTTGATATCTTCCCACGTCAGAATAGAGAGACGTTGTGGTGTGTTATTCATAAATTTACTGAAACTTGTCTGCAATATTTTCATTTATTATTAACTGAAATTTATTTGTAAGACTATCCATATGTTTATTTACAGACGTAAGATATTGTAGGTGCGTTATATTGTGATTTATTTAAATAGTATGTTCCACATGTAAATCGAGTACTCGATACGGAACGTAAAATGATGTTTTAATCTTTTAATTATCTTATATTGTGATTGACGGCCAATTTTAATATATTTTTAATACTATTTATTTACAGACACTTGTTAAAATGTTATATAAATTAATTTCTGAAACCTGTTTAGAAGTTAGTTGGCGCTGTTTTGCGGGCTCGTCCAAATTTGCGCTGATCCAAACTGTCAGCCCGGACATCAAGCACCCTGACGAATTTTTCCGTGGTTTTCCCCACTTCCGCTGTGCGAATACGGAGATGACACCTCGGGATGGTCGGTGAGCGACTCCTCCAAATCGTCGCACCATTCGACCTTTGCACTGCATAACCAGCGTAGTTGAAGTTGTTAATTAACAAGAGATTCATTCAGCAAATACATTTGAAGTACCTTTATCTGAGCGATAACAGTCTATCTCAAGCCTTTAAGAAGGCAGGCTACCTGCCTGCTTCAGCTTTCGACAGGGTACCTACTGGCTTCGTGTCTGTACGTTCCACCATTGCCTGTTTCACGTCGTGATTTCGTTTCATCCGTCACTAGAGGATCTCTGCAGTTGATACAGCGTCGTTCAGTGACCTACGAACGATAATTAACCTCAGTGAAAATGTTATTTGTTGGGCAGTTCAGTGTCCTTTGCTGTCCAGAGGTGCGTGCCTCTCCCACCACTGATCGAGTTACCTCGGCCTGCTCGCTATTAAAAAGGTCCTTGCAACGAGCATTTGGTATGAATGACTTTTCGTAGGAGGCAACTCCACCCGAACCACCAGTAATACCACCACGCGAAATTCTGAGGCAGGAAGGCTGTTAGCTCCAAATACACCAAGAGTTTGCAGCTCAACCTTATCATATTCGAAAATTACAGAAAGCGACGTTGAATTTGAAGGTCTTCCTGGCCTCAACATTTTCGGAATGGATGTTCTACCCATCGGGTCATTGATTGAGCAGTTAGGGAGGCGGAGACTTGTAATATTATTTGTCGATATAAAGAAAATTGTTGTAAACTTAAGGTGCATCGACTTCAGAAGTTTTTCTAGAACCTGAATAGGTTCTCTTTCTGTGAGATTTGAGGTTCTGTGGGCGGTGAGGGTGACGATGTTGCTCTGGGCTGTGACACCATGTAGGGGAGACAGAAAAAAAAAGATTCGGATAAACATCTTGTTTCCATCTTCAGGGCTATACGGCGTTACAACCCAGATGAACAACATTGTGATCGATTCTGCCTCTGCTTCAGTATTGTGGTTTAGCATTTCATTTATTTATTTGTCTAAGCGATTCAGTGAAACTAATTTCAAGATTAGTTGGTTCCGGAAGTACACGACGTGGAAATTCGGTTATGACTCCACACGAATACAAAAATGTCTAAATGTGCATTATTCAGACTTTTACACTTTCTTACATCTTGTGTGAACTTGGAATTTCAAGGTGTGTGGCCACAAAAATCAAAATATCACAAAAATTGGATGTTTTACCCAGCGTGTAGATACAGTCGTCCAACATCATTGCAAACTCTCAGTGACTTTTTGACACAAACACAAGATGAAGTGGAAAATGACATTTTCTCTGTTGCGACAGTGGTTACTATAGCGATAATCCAAATAATTAAGGAATTACAAACAAATAGCAAGACAAATGTTGAAATTATTGTGTAGGATTTGAGGTTTTCATGATGATGTGAATGTAGTTGGTGATCTTCTGGGTTGAAGATGGAGCCACTGTCTACCTCTGAAGCATTGACTCACAGCTAAATTGCTGCATAATGCAGTGTTCTACTGTGGCACACTAATGTGTTGCTGCAAGGTTTCAGGTATGCCACGAGTTTTTGTAAGAAATTGCATATTTGCATGTTATGGTTAGGAAAAAAATATCTTAGCTTTTGTATGGTAATTAGAATTTGCTATATACACACTAGTTCATCATCGGTAGTTTTATCCAAGATCTTTAAAGTTGTTTTCACATGCCTGTTTTGTTTGCAGGGCAAATACTTGTGTGTAGATAATTATCTATGAGCGCTTGATGTCGTCTAATTATATTTCTCAGACTGGAACAGATGACCTGAAGAGCAGATATCTTAATATCTGATAACCTAGGCATGGGGAATTTAGAGCGTGTTTCTGTCTTTTACTCCACTGATGCTGTCGTTTACTGACAAGATTACTTATCCAGACATTGTTTTGAGGTAATATGGCAAGGCCGTGGTCTAGGCAACACGGAGTTTTCCTCCGGGGGCTTCTTCCCCGGTTTCTCCGTGGCATCCCCACAATTACTCCATTCACACACAGAAGAAGGCAATGGCAAACCACTTCTGGATCATCTGCCAAGAACGTATATGAACAGGTCCCAGTCCGAGAAAAGGATTGAAGGATCCTGTTCATAATATGTCGCCAACCTCCTGTAAAGGAGATAGCGTAATAAAGAAGAAGATATGTACATATTCATGGCCATGTAGCGTAAAATTTTGTACCCCCTATTCGTGAGACATTTTGTGGCGTGTCTTTAATGAAGTAGGGTGTAGTGCGGGTGAGAAAAGGTTTCAGAACACTGCTGCATCGACCTAGAATATTACCACAACATTTAAAGTTTTATTTGTCTACTTTCTTGAAGATAAACAGTCTCTGCATAAAATATATAATTTGGAAAATGGTACCGATGTTGCTCCTGACCCCAAAGTTCACTCTTCCACCATATTGTTGATGCTGATGATGGTAATGTTAATTATATTTTTAAAAATATAATGTTGTTGTGAGTTATCTAGATGTGTACTCGACTTTGTGCCTAGTTTCGTAAAACTTGGCCTCCAAGTAGTACAAAAGTTGTTAATAGAAACATACAGAAACCTAAGGTAGGTTGGATGTTTATGGACATTTAGCTTGTGTATTATTATAATTATAAGTAATTAAATGTTATGAAGTTTTGTGTGTGTTGCCAGTTGGCATTGATGTATGAAGTACATAACACAATTGGAAATGATAGGATGATTGCAAATGTAGACTAGGTAAGCATATGGAAGGACTACCTTAAATGAGAAACTTTCTTTATGTAGAAGCTTTTCATTAACTGGAATGTTTTGAGATGAGGTCCGAATGTTAATGTATTATTTCATTCTTAATTTTTCACTTTTGTTTTCAGGTTGCAGTAAAGATTATAGATAAAACAAAACTAGATGAAGAAAATTTAAAAAAAATATTCCGAGAAATTCAAATAATGACAAAACTCCGTCATCCGCACATCATAAGACTGTATCAGGTAAGAATCGACTGACTCCAATTAAGCATATTTATTTTTGATTCAAATTTTTTATATTTGTATAAAATCTAAATTAGAAAGATATTTTCTTTAATCTCGATCATTAGAACAGGTAAACAAATGTGTTGTCAGGTACTTGCTAGATGAATTTTGTTGAAATGATGTCATAAATACACACAGTCATTGTCAGGAGGTAGTTAATTGTTAATTGCTTCAGTCACATACTCTTTTTCTGTATTGATTAAATTGTATTGCATCATAATTCAAATTTGTGATTGAAGTTAACATTGCTGGTTTGGGAATAGAAACATTTATGTCGTTCCCTGGAGGGAAATTTTAAGACAGCATAAAAGATGTGTGCGAGTATTGTTCCCACAGTCGCCACCACCATTTCCGCTATTAACGCCACTACCATGACCACCACTGTTACTGCCAGTACTACTGCTATTACTTCGACAACAGGAAAACTTTTCAGTTTCCGTCACTTCAGATGGTGGTCAAAGCCATGTTTTAGTACAAGAGTTTTAGGAACAATTGATAGAGCCTACTTTTCTAGTGCTCAGGTTTCAGTCCTGTAAATCTATATAGTAGTTATAGTTTACAAGCCAAGCGTAATAAACTGCTTAACTCATGGGTTAGCAATCTGGTGTCGTGCACAGATTTCTTTTATTGCTTGTAATTTGTAAATATATTGCAGATTGTTATGGTTATTGTTGTTGTTATTAATATTCATGTTACTGCTGATCACAGTGGCTGTGCAGTTAAATGCATTGGTCTAGGCCACTCAAACAAACATGGGGATTGTGGGTTCAAATCTCACTCGAGCCTTAGTGGTCCTCATCTTTGTGTGTTGCGCTGTCGTTTGTTCGTAGAGGCCTTATGGCAGGCTGACCCTCCACCCGCGGAGTCCTACCAACTGTTGAGAGGTTTGAAAAGCTGGTATAAAATTCTACAGACAGTCCAAGGCTCATAGTTGGCTATAGCACTATGCAGTAGTAGTAGCAGTATTTTATATTTGGGAAGAATGTATTACTTAAGTACAAATTCTGTCTACATTATGTGAGATTTGAGATTCTCATGGCTGCCACTGGTTAGTGCAAATGGAGGAGCATACTCCCTCCATATTTAACCCTGTAGATGGAAGTAGTATGCACCTCCAAAACATTGGTATCTGCCTGTAAATCCACATGGTGTTAATGCTCATAAGGTCAGTATCAACATCTGTCAATGGTATATTTGTCCAGATTTAACTTTAAAAAAAATTGTAGAGCTTTGAATAATATTTCATATTTAATTAACAGTTATGTTTCTGATCTATCTTCAATCAAAATTCCATGCTTCTGTCTCAGTTGGTTCTTTAGTTGTCACTGTAAAATATAGAATTTAACAAGAATTTATCATGGCTGTCAGGTTGTCTTCATTGAACAAGAAGTAATATCAATGAAATTAGCAAATTTTTGCAACATCTGTTACAATATATCATTTGAGGACTATGTGTTGAGTAGTTCTGAAGTCATTACCATGTCACAAGTTCCTGTGTCTGCCATTTTGTTATTACTGATAGCTGGAAGTTGAAAACTACATGCTTTCAGCAGTCTATAGTGACATTGTATTGATACTAAATCCTCTGAAAATTAAATGTTTTAGAAGCTGATAGGGGCACACACACACACACAATGTGCCATAAGTCTATACTATTTTTTTTACATAACAAAGAAAGTAGGCTTATTTTGTAAATGAAAAATCTTTGTCCCAATAATCTAAAAGAAGCCTCTGCTAGAACAGTTTATATACAAGTCTGATGGTGTCATCCCTTATTGATAGCTGTAGATCTTCGCCGAGAGTTGTGACAAAGTAACGAAGTTCGTGAAACGCGCTAAGGCAGACATCTTTGTAGACATGTCATGCACGCAGTGAAAGGTGTCCATAGGCATGTTTTCCCAGCTTCATATTTTCTTGTTGTTTAATTTCTGTAATTGAGTACTTCAGCGGATTGCTGGCTGGCATCGTTTGTGGTTAGAACTAGGGCGGTGCCCTTGTTAGTCACATGTTCTAAAGTCTGCTTTTGTGTGTTTTTTGATTTTGTTAAGGGTAAAACAGAAATCTCAAATTGATAGATCATATGCTCATATTTTATGGCAAGTTTTTAAATTTTTCTTGGAGTTAGTGAGCCTTGTTCACTTGGACACTGGGACCGTGGGTTTGAATCCCACTGAAGGCATGTTTGTTTGCCCGTGTGTTTCTGTGTTGTGATGTCCTGTAAAAGTAGAGGCCTTGCAACGGGCTGATCACTCGTCCAAGGAGTTCTACCAAATGTCTAAATAGTTCAAGTAACCTCCCATGTGGGAGGAGGCCAAGGCCCGTCAAGGGCTGTAACGCCACAGAGCCAAGACTTGGGTGTTTGAACTTATTTGGCTGCAGATTTTCTTCAGAACTGTGTTTTATTCTCCATCTTTCCCCTAAATTTTATTTTTGTTTAATGTTTTTGGGTTACTATGACGGTACTCTCCAACAGACCGTTGCATTGTGTCTCTGCAGTGTGAATAGTCAATTGTGTGTTCAGTTTCATTTGAAACGTTTATCTATGCTATTTACTGTTAAGGTTTAAGTGAATGCAAGACCTTTGACTTTTTTTTAACACTTCTTAACCTTATAAATATCATTGTTTGTATCAGTGGAAAGGAAGATCTCAGATAATATAGTCTTCATGCAAGAAGGAATTTTGTCATATAACCGTATTCTCAACTCGGATGTCATGCGTGTTTACGATATTTCTGTCACCATCAGTAAATTTTTTTCAGGTAATGTTGGACTCGGGTAGCTTCAGTAGGAATGTCTCCTTTCTCTCTGTTTTAACATTTGTTTCTTACTTTTAATGTGCGAAAAGTTTCTTGTGAACATGGTAATGAACCTTCAGGCTTCATAAAAGGCAGAGAATTTCTTGACTAATGGAGCTTCAAGATAAGGGCTGTACTCCATGGAGTTAGTTTAAAGTCTTTAAAGCAAAGAGTTTGTATTTAATTGCTAACTATATGTAAATATAGTATATAACTTTTTTTAAGTTAAAAGATTTTAGGAATTAAACTCGGTAAGAATTATTTCCCACTGTATCGGGTAAAAGAATTAGGTAAAGCCATGTTGTGACTAGTGAAAGGATGGATAGGTCAGTGGAGATGGAGCAGTCTGTATCTGTGAGATTTAAGAAGGAGAGACTTTGATATTTTATCAAGTAGCGTAGCCAATGTCAAGGAGAGATTCATCTGTGAGCACATTTATATCCAGCTTCAAAACTTCAACTATTGGTATCTGATATGCAGTATTAGATCTTTTTAAAAGAAAATTACTGCCCTTTTGATTATGGTTAGTCTGGACTGCATGTGTTGGTGGATGAAGTAGCTTGTATCATTAGATGCCCAGTTTATAACATGAAGACCAGACAGTTCATGATAAAAGTGATTCTGCAGTGTATCCTTTGAAATTCTGAAGTGTCCCTCTGTTGGCCATCATTTTGCTGATGTTCCTCATTCATCTGTCATTATCCATGGAGGAAACAGCGGTGAACAATAGGACTGTTTATCCCAACCTCAATTCTTGGTTGAGGGATTTACATCAAACCAGGCATTGGATGGTGCCACAAAATGGAGTTTCTTATTGTGGTTGCCTTATATACATATTGATTTATCTTTAATCATCAGTTGAGGTTTTCATGGCAGTGAAAGTGTTCAGTCATTGTCTTCTGGGTTTCTGACACCATATAACCTTGTAGGTCATTACCAAAGTTTTGGAGGAACATGGTAACCACCTACGAGACTACGCGGTGTCACAACCCAGAAGACTGTGATTTGAACAGTTTTGTTTTTCTGAGTTACTGTTTAATATTCTTTTCCTCTTTGCCCAGGTAATGGAAACTGAAAAGATGATATATCTAGTAACAGAGTATGCAAGTGGAGGTGAGATTTTTGGTAAGTTTTAGTTTTAAATGTTGATAAGTGAACAACTTGGAAATAAATATGGTGCAACTAGCTTAAAATGGATCCTGAAGAACACAGTGATCTCCCACTTTTAAATGATTTTCCAATGGCCTATTCAGTGATAGTTGTGCTTATTAGTTACATTGAGTCTGTGAGATGCATATTTAATTACTTACAATATTCAAGAGGATTTTTCATTATTGTTTTATAAATACTCTTTTTATTCTTATCAGTGCTTTGAATATTTTAGATGGAAGCACCCTGTTTAGAAATACTGTGTACCAATTCATAAGATACAGTATGTCAGGAATTCTTGTTTGTTGAAAACATTTATTGCAATTAGAAGATGCCTATCTTCTGGGTTGTAGGGCCATGTAGTCTGGTAGAAGTGAATCAATATTTCAGAGGTCCTTGCTGCCTCTGTCATCAGAGTGGTGAGTAAAGACCTCTGAAATGTTGGTTAACTTTTACCAGACTACACACAACCAAGGAGACAGTCATCTTCATACTCACAGCCGTGAGAACCTCAAATCCTATTTTGTTGCAATTGCTTGTATGCTTCTTATGTCTTTGTTTGTCACTTTGGATCTGTGAGACCCAGACGTAATGTTAAACAGACGCTAAATGAAGTTAGTGCCGTTGTCAGAGTTTGTGTGAGTTGTTTACTGCTTACCTGAAGTCTCTCTGCTTGTCGATGGGAGTGACCTGGGTTGTGGTACTGTTTGGTATTCTAGGTGATCACAAGCATTTCAGAGAAATGTATTTTCCTCCGCCTTCCTCTGAAATGTTGGTAACCACCTGCAAGACTGCATGGTTTTACAACACAGAAAACTACCATTGACATCTTCACTGCTGTGAGAACCTCAGATCTCAGATTATTTGTGTTTTTTAAAAATAAAAGTAGAATATGGGTCTGTGAGACTGTGAATTTTTTTGTTATGGGTAAGACGATGCTCACTTAGGATGATTTCCACGTCATCTGGCCGTTCTTCAAGCAGACTGCATGTGTCATGATCACTGCTTCTGCTCTAAGGGAGTCATCATTTGGTACTCTGTTTTTATTTGAAATATGGATTTAATAATTTGAGGGCATTCTCTTAGTATGTATTACACATTGGGTAAGTTGTATATTTCCATTCTAGCCAACAGAAACCTCTCAACAGTACTTTGCTACCATTTTGTATCACTGCAGCTGTTGACATACATGAGCAGTTGGATTGAGCATAAATAATGTATGAAGGTCTAATGCTGATTATGTTCGTTCCCTTCATTTGTCATGTGCTGTTGCCTGCTAGGTATAGAGATGAAAATCTTTTACAGTGGTGACAATTTGGATTATGACACCATGTAGTCTGTTACAGTGTTACCCAGGCTTTGGAGTAGCACACTGCCTTAATCTTCAGGGTCTAAGTTGCCCTGAGGACGGAGGCAGTAGCTTCTTTTGAAAAGTTAGTAACCATTTACAAGACTTCAATGCTGGATAAACAAGAACCATAATCCATAAATGTTTCTTGCATGAGGATTACTTAGCAGTTACAGTTAACTCCACGTTTAAATTTTAAAGAATTAATAAAAACAAAATACATTTGTTTTCTGTACAAGGCATGGCAGATAAGTTCCTGGAATGCTTCTATAAAAGCTATATTCAGTTACTTACAATCTAATGGTTGCTGTCACCTTTGAAGTAATCTCCGTGCGCACCAGTGCACTTATTGAGTCAGTGTTAGCACTAATCAAAACATTTCTGGAACTCCTAATCTGGATGATTGTCGCATGCCCCTGAATGTCAGTAGTGTCTGAAAATCTGTGGTTCTTCAAAGTGGACTTTAGTTTTTGGAATAGCCAGTACTGAACACGAGGCCAAAGTTGACAAATATGGTGGGTAGTCCGATTTCAGTATCGATTCTTTAGAGAGTGAGCTTGTTGTGAGCAGGTTATTTTTGTAGCAGAGATTTTCAAATTGTAAATATTGCTCAATTTGTGTAATTTATACATGCTTTTCTGCAAGTTACCTTTAATTTTCTTTCAGTACAAATCATTGTAAAATTTCCAGTATTTTGTGTGCCTTTTAGTTTTTTTTTTTTAATGACTACTACAGTATTTATTTTATTCTCTTTTACATTCTTACGCTATTCCATGCTGTTTGCCGTTACACTGTCCAGATCTAAGTCCGTTAGAGTTAGCTATCTATGTATTAGATGTTAATTACTTTCAATATAAGTTTATATACACTTTCCCCTTTCTCACGTCTTCCACACAGCACAGACTAACTATGTGTTATCATCCTAATAATATAAATTTCCTGATTTAGTACCGTGACAAGAGGTGGTTGGTGGTGGTGGTGGTGGTGTCAGTAGTAGTAGTAGTAGTAGCAGCAGCAGCAGCATTGGCAGTAATAATAATGATAATAGTAGTAAGTGTCATGACAGCCAGTCACTTGAAGACAGGATCAGAGTCAGCTCTCAAAACATCGTGTTTTTCAGATATAAAGGTAAAAAGTATATACTCACAGCCGTGAGAACCTCAAATCCTATTTTGTTGCAATTGCTTGTATGCTTCTTATGTCTTTGTTTGTCACTTTGGATCTGTGAGACCCAGACGTAATGTTAAACAGACGCTAAATGAAGTTAGTGCCGTTGTCAGAGTTTGTGTGAGTTGTTTACTGCTTACCTGAAGTCTCTCTGCTTGTCGATGGGAGTGACCTGGGTTGTGGTACTGTTTGGTATTCTAGGTGATCACAAGCATTTCAGAGAAATGTATTTTCCTCCGCCTTCCTCTGAAATGTTGGTAACCACCTGCAAGACTGCATGGTTTTACAACACAGAAAACTACCATTGACATCTTCACTGCTGTGAGAACCTCAGATCTCAGATTATTTGTGTTTTTTAAAAATAAAAGTAGAATATGGGTCTGTGAGACTGTGAATTTTTTTGTTATGGGTAAGACGATGCTCACTTAGGATGATTTCCACGTCATCTGGCCGTTCTTCAAGCAGACTGCATGTGTCATGATCACTGCTTCTGCTCTAAGGGAGTCATCATTTGGTACTCTGTTTTTATTTGAAATATGGATTTAATAATTTGAGGGCATTCTCTTAGTATGTATTACACATTGGGTAAGTTGTATATTTCCATTCTAGCCAACAGAAACCTCTCAACAGTACTTTGCTACCATTTTGTATCACTGCAGCTGTTGACATACATGAGCAGTTGGATTGAGCATAAATAATGTATGAAGGTCTAATGCTGATTATGTTCGTTCCCTTCATTTGTCATGTGCTGTTGCCTGCTAGGTATAGAGATGAAAATCTTTTACAGTGGTGACAATTTGGATTATGACACCATGTAGTCTGTTACAGTGTTACCCAGGCTTTGGAGTAGCACACTGCCTTAATCTTCAGGGTCTAAGTTGCCCTGAGGACGGAGGCAGTAGCTTCTTTTGAAAAGTTAGTAACCATTTACAAGACTTCAATGCTGGATAAACAAGAACCATAATCCATAAATGTTTCTTGCATGAGGATTACTTAGCAGTTACAGTTAACTCCACGTTTAAATTTTAAAGAATTAATAAAAACAAAATACATTTGTTTTCTGTACAAGGCATGGCAGATAAGTTCCTGGAATGCTTCTATAAAAGCTATATTCAGTTACTTACAATCTAATGGTTGCTGTCACCTTTGAAGTAATCTCCGTGCGCACCAGTGCACTTATTGAGTCAGTGTTAGCACTAATCAAAACATTTCTGGAACTCCTAATCTGGATGATTGTCGCATGCCCCTGAATGTCAGTAGTGTCTGAAAATCTGTGGTTCTTCAAAGTGGACTTTAGTTTTTGGAATAGCCAGTACTGAACACGAGGCCAAAGTTGACAAATATGGTGGGTAGTCCGATTTCAGTATCGATTCTTTAGAGAGTGAGCTTGTTGTGAGCAGGTTATTTTTGTAGCAGAGATTTTCAAATTGTAAATATTGCTCAATTTGTGTAATTTATACATGCTTTTCTGCAAGTTACCTTTAATTTTCTTTCAGTACAAATCATTGTAAAATTTCCAGTATTTTGTGTGCCTTTTAGTTTTTTTTTTTTAATGACTACTACAGTATTTATTTTATTCTCTTTTACATTCTTACGCTATTCCATGCTGTTTGCCGTTACACTGTCCAGATCTAAGTCCGTTAGAGTTAGCTATCTATGTATTAGATGTTAATTACTTTCAATATAAGTTTATATACACTTTCCCCTTTCTCACGTCTTCCACACAGCACAGACTAACTATGTGTTATCATCCTAATAATATAAATTTCCTGATTTAGTACCGTGACAAGAGGTGGTTGGTGGTGGTGGTGGTGGTGTCAGTAGTAGTAGTAGTAGTAGCAGCAGCAGCAGCATTGGCAGTAATAATAATGATAATAGTAGTAAGTGTCATGACAGCCAGTCACTTGAAGACAGGATCAGAGTCAGCTCTCAAAACATCGTGTTTTTCAGATATAAAGGTAAAAAGTATAGCTGTCCCACTATGTGCCATGTAGGCACTTGGGGGGAGTGGAGGTATAGCTCCTACTCATTCTTGACCTCGGTACTAGGTGGGTGGGCCCCAGATATACTTCAGATAATGTATAATGTCCAGCATAGCATTCCTTTAAAGATATATGAATCCTGTCTGATATCAATATATGTCATATGTGTGTTTATATGGCAAAAATGTAACATTGTGTCTGTTTTATCTCCAGTTTGTGCTGTATTTATTTTCTTCTCCTTTCATGTTTTTTATGTTTTCTATGCTTTTTTTCTTTCTTTCCAAATAGAGGTCATGTTATCTGTAATTGGAGTTTACGTCTGTGCCATTATCTAACATGAGTAAGTTTTATGTTGCAGATCACCTAGTAGAAAATGGACGAATGAGTGAGGTGGAAGCCCGCCGAATATTCCACCAGATTGTGGCAGCTGTGAATTATTGTCATAAACGAAATGTGGTCCACAGAGATCTCAAGGCTGAGAATCTGCTACTTGACTCCAAGATGGACATAAAGTTGGCAGGTGAATATAAGAATGAATTGTTTTTATCTTTGTATTTGTGGATCTGTCTTTGAACTGCAGGGTTAATATTTTTCACGTTTAATTACAGGAACATTTTTTCATTATGGAATTATAACTTGAATCATTCCTAGGCCTGTTTAAGCCATTTTGTGTCATGGCCTGTCTTACAATGGTGGATACACAATAAAGAGAGTGTTCTAATGTTGTATTATGTTAGGCTGGGTAATGGTAGGTTTGGTTAGGTTTTTTATTTGGTTGTGTTGGGTAATGCTGGTGTGGGTTATGTGAAAAATTAAGGTGATTGGGTGGATGAAGGTTAGATAAGGTTGGGTTAGGTTAGGTTAGGTGTGTTCAGGTTATGTTAGTTGCTCCTGGGGTTGCATTGGAGATGCTCCAGTTTGTGGCTTGGGATTCCACAGGGATGTGCACCAGGAGTACTCTTTTTGGATACTCCATCAATTTTCCCCTGCTAAAGTGCTTCGTCTTCTTAACCACCCTTCTAAGAACCTTGAGAATAAAGCAGAGTACTTATGTTCAGCCAGACTATGTGTGATATGGCATTTTGGAATATTAAAACAGCTTTTAAGAAAGAATTATGAGAAATGTAGCGGCAGTCCGCATAAATTTGAAATGTCTTAAAAGGAGGGGAAGGAGGAAGAAGCAGAATAAGTGTAGTTCACTATCTGTCATGTTGGACAATTCATAAAATTTGAAGAGGGCATTTTCAAATCAAAATATTTAAGGTGGTCTCGGAAACCAGAGTTACTGGACGATGCGTATGTCGGCTTGAGGTATATGTGTTATTGGGATTGTTGGCATCTGTTCTGGTTTCAAGACTACCACACCAGGCTCAATTACTGAGGCAACATATATCACATCCTGATATTGTATATATATTTGCCTGTTGAATGACGCTAATGTTTGTTACTTGTGGAAGAATTTTAAGTTACTGAATATCATTACAGATTTTGGGTTCAGCAACCACTACCAACCTGGACAGATGCTGTCAACGTGGTGTGGGAGCCCACCATATGCAGCTCCGGAGCTCTTTGAGGGCAGAGAGTATGATGGTCCGAAGACAGACATTTGGGTATGTTCTATTTATCCCCCTCCCCGAGTGCTCTAGACCTATGCCAGATGAAGAAGAATGACAATGTGAACCTTTGTGCAGTCCTCAGTGGCAGACGTCTTTTGTTCTAATCTCTTGTTTGCAGTTAGATTTATTATATTCAACTTTTGGATTTGATCTAATGCAAAAAAGAATTAATTTTAAGAATTATGATTTTGTGAAGGGGTAGATAAATGAATAATGACAAAAGGGTCTGTTATATGTTAAGAATTATGATTTTGTGAAGGGGTAGGTAAATGAATAATGACAAAAGGGTCTCTTATATGCAATTTATAATACTACTATTTCTATGTCAGGTGGAATGCTTGAAGACTTTTAAGTTTAGTTTCAGGAAAGATTCCTTCTATTTCATCTGTACCCAGAGCCTAATATTGTGTTTGCCTGTAGTTTTTAGCAGGGTGTCTTGTCCATAACCATTTTTAATTTCATACATCTTTGTTTAACTTACTAATGACAGTAGGAAGGGCTGGAGGGAGGACTTTTACAAGTACAGAACACATACACACATGCACATGTGTGCTTATATATTTTTCTACTGCATGAAAATTAAATTCATCAGAATAAACTGTTGTGTAGTTTTCTTCCAAACATATTTTAAGCAAGAATCAGCTGAAAAGAAATCGTTTATACTTGTCAGTCTTGAACTCATATTAATGAAAAATGATGGGATAACATTTACTAAAACTTCAGAAATTTTGTTGAATCCTTAAAAGTTGTTGGATTTAACCAGGAGATAAAATGTACCAAATATTGAGATATTTTGGGTGAATACTTTAATAGATAAGGTGGTCCTAAGTTTAATGAGTCACACATTTTCAAATGCAAAGCTCTTCTGACATTTCTGTAGCTTTTGAACTGCTAGAAATATAAGTGGACTGAAACTGGTGTCAGTTCGGCATTGCTGGTGTTAAGTGAAACAATTGCTTGTTTCAGAGTATGGGTGTGGTTCTGTATGTATTAGTTTGTGGAGCTCTTCCATTTGATGGTACAACATTACATTCATTGCGCACAAGAGTGATCTCAGGAAAATTTCGTATACCCTTCTTCATGTCCGCAGGTGAGTAGACATGTCACCAGTTTATGAATTACAGACTTCAGATTTGTGTACTGTTTTCTGGGGTTGTGCTGAAGAATAAGATGAGCTAAAGATAGCTCAGTTGTTTGGTCAGTACGAAGCTAACTAGATGCTGGCTGGTACTTGTCCATCTATAACATCTATATTGAAATATTATGTTTAAAGAAACAGATTGAAGGATAGTTTTTGGTCATTTTTAGAAAAAATTACAGTCAGTTGTGCTGGATAAGCTGGGAAAATTACTTGAGAAGGTGATTATGTTCAGGGAACTGGAACGTATTGTTTAGGAAATGGTCACAGCATATTTGAAGGTACTCTTACGGTGTTTGTATGGAAGGATTGAGGATAATAATCAATCAATTCTTTCAAGGCTAAAACTAGGTACCTCCTGAATACCAGAAATGTTACTATTTGAGCTAATATGTTTTGGCTGAAAATTAGACCTCCTGTTAACTCTAGTGTGGCAGTGAATCATTCATCACTGGCGCAGAATCCTTACACCAAGAACCTCGTCATTCCAATGGCAGACTTGTGGTAATCAAGAGTTACTCTTTAATAAATTCTTCTCGGGCTACCAGCTGTGTAAGGTAGCTTAATGAAGAAAACGCCAGTGTTTTGAGAACCATCTTTGTCCTCATCATCAGTGTACTGTAGTTGTAGATCCAGCCCGTGCTCTGTGTCTACTTGATCAAATTCCGTGTTTACTTGATCAAATTCCGTGTTATTGGCTAACGTGCAGCCGGTAACACGGAACTGGGTCACGTAGACACAGAGCACAGACAGGATCTCTTATTACACAGTACCCTGAGTTTGAGGACAAAGATGGTTCTCAAAACGTTGGTATTTTCTTCATTGAGCCACCTTACACGGCCGGTAGCCAGAGAAGAATTGTTGTGAAAGCTTCAGATCATACAGAGTTACTCTAGTGTGTTGACTGTCTTGAGTCCATATGTGCGGAATCCTCCATTCACAGTTTGTCATTCTTGGGAGAGACAACTTCTTAGTATCAAGTACAGTGAGAGGTTGCCTTTCTCTGATATGACTTACAAAATTAATTTTACTGGACAGTGTATACATTTTCTATTGACTTCTGTTTTATATTATTTATTCAGAGGTTTCTTGAGCATTCACATGAGGATGTTTTTTCTGTTAATTACTTTTTTATCACAGGAGATATGGCTTTTCTCCTAAATTAGTAATTGTGAGGAAGTGAGAAGCTACAGAAGTCTCACTGAATTTTATCTGTTTTGAGTTATGCATTGCTTTTGTGGGAAGAAAATAGTTTCATAGTTCTACTTCAGTTTATTGTTAGACTCATGGGGTATTGACTTTTAAATCCATCTTCTGCATTACTTCAAAACAATTCTCTTAGATTGTCATAAGGAGATTCCAAAAGAGAGAAAAGCTATCTTCATTGCGGTATTCTGCAAACAGTTTAACAAATTTAGGTAACAAAGGTTTGTCAGTATTTATTTTTTGAATGGATTAAGTAAGTTACCCATATTAGAAATAAATTTTACCAGTTTTGTACCAAACAGGAGATATATTATGTTGCAGACTGTGAACATCTTATAAGGCACATGTTGGTTGTGGACCCAGAGCGAAGACTAGGTATTAAGCAAATATTACACCATCGTTGGATGTTGCAGGTATGAATTTAATTGCTTTACTTTGCACTTACAATGAAGCATGGATTTTTTTATTTTAGTCCTAGGAGAATATGTATAAAAATTATGTTAACTCTGCAACTAGTTTTAGATTTTCCACCAGTTACGGTTTTGAAAACACATTTTCCACCCATGATACAATATAACATGCATATTGCTTACATTTCACCTTGAAAATCTGAGTTCTTATCAGAAAAATTGTTTTGATGGTGTTAGTTTTTGCATGTTATCACTGATTAGAACCAGTGTCAGTATCTCCATAGCCAGCTTAGAGTTTCAGAATTGACTAATCTTCATCATACTGCAGTATTAACCTTTTTTTGTGTGACATATAAATTCCTGAGTTATGTGTGCACATATGGACTTAATTGGCATTTAAATGGATTTAAAGTGCTGGATGTTATAAAGTATTTATTGCATTTTTTAAGCTGGAAACTCAAAATAAAAATTCTGTTATTGATTATGAATGCATTTACCTGTATATGAAGTTTCATAATAATCATTATTTAAAAACACACTAAGTTTACATTTATTTTCAGTTATTTAGATTATTTTCACATGTTTTAATTTCTTATTCTCTAATTTAACCTCACACTGCAGATTCAGAGTGGCAAAAAATCTTGGAGTTAACTGTACTTCACTTTGAATTGCTGTGTTTATTTGTTCATTGATCACATCCACGTTTCCGAGCTGAATGAATACAATCTATATTTGTCACTGGGTTCTGAATATAAAACTTATATCAACGACAGGAAATCAGAAAAGTAAAAATGATATAAGGCATACAGTTCCATACCTGGAATAAACCCCTTAAGCAGACACATCGCATGAATGAGTAAGCTATATGAAAATATTAGTGACTCAGTCTGCTTGAGATGGTGTCAGGAGCCAGCAGTAAATTTCTTTTCAATCGGAGGTTTCGTCTGTGTCATAGCAAATAAATTTTATTCCACTCCCTCTATTGTAAAAGAGTTTATTTGAGAATTCAAAACACCTTGACGTGAGGGACAGCCTTGGCATACATATTGGTCATGATAGAACAGCTATGACAGCAACACATGCAACAAGACGTCGACAAAGTCAAGGCATGGGCATAAACTGTAAATAGTAGTTGTAGTAGTAGTTGTCAATCAGTCGCAGTTTCTTCAACCCACTTTTGGTGTCAGGTGAGACTGCTTAAGCAGGGACAGTCTCCAAAATTATCTTCTGCTTGATTTATATTTTATTCTTCAAATTGTGTCCCACTATGATAAGAAAAGAAAGATATTGTGTTAAGCAAATATAATTTTCCACTTTTTCCCACTAGTGTAACTAGAATATGCAGTTCTGTTTCTGTGTTCAGAACTTACATTAATGGTCTGATCTATCGTCTCTGAACTCCTTCACTGCCTCATCCTCTCTCCAATGGCAAACTGCAAGTGCATTATGTGACAAACTACTGTCCACCGACCAGGAGAAAATCCCTGCTAGGAATTTGATACACGCGCAAGATTTTGTTGTGAGTGACGAGTTGCTACTAGTCATCCTAAAAGCATTCATTCCACAACCACTGAACGAACAATAGACAACAGACTTTCATGTGTTGTAATGGGTACAGCTTTAAGATTACCTCACAGTGGCACAGCGATTTAATCTAGAATATTATCACAACACCCACAGAACACATTAGAGGTGCACCCACTACACGCTACTTTTAACTGCTTGATGTTTTCAATCTTTGTGTAGTAGTGTAACTCTCTGGTGTGACACCCTTCCCACCAATAGCAGCCCTCCAGTCCACCTGATAGTAAACATTCCCCCCGCACCGCACCAGAACCGCCTTCCCCCTGCAGGGATTTTCTGCTGGCCGGTGGACAGTACAAACATACGAGTGAAATATTTATTCTAGCATCTGTTTAATATCCTTTCTGGCTCACATTCAGTTGTCGCTATCTCAGAGCTGATGAGATCTTGAATGAGGTTGGGTGTATTCTGGGTTGTAGTGCTATATGGTCTGGTAGAAGTTTACCAAATTTTCAGAGGTCCTTGCTGTGTTCATCAACAGTGTGATGATGGAGGCAGCAAGGACCTCTGAAACATTTTTTTTGGTTGTACATCGGGAGTCTTCGGTTTTTGTTGCAGGGTGAAGTGGATTATGGAGTTCATAGAATGTTAACAGATGCTGAAAGTGCAGAAGTGCCTCCAGTCCTTAATAATTTAGTATTAGAACACATGCTGCAACTACCAGGCCTGGATAAAGAAATGATAATGAAGGTAAAACTTTATATTGGGAAACTAAGTGTGAAATGTCTTGTAATTCTTGTCTGTAATGAATGTATCTAAGATGACTTATAACTGTGTGACATCATGCAGGTAATGTGTGGGGATATAGTGAAGAGTAAGAAGAATACAGTAGGGCACCGCTTATACGGCGGGTTAGGGACCAGACCCCCGCCCTAAAGCGAAAATCGCCGAAAAGCGGATCTTTGCCTTATTTCACTTGCAAATGCATATCAAAGCCTAATAAGATGTTACACTATCATATAGTAAGTGCACAATAGCGCTAGGCCTAAGAAAACAATATGAAATAAAATGAATATCAGTAGTACACACATTGTGGCTGGTTTGATCTTCAATCCACACAACTAAAAGTTTTTCCACGTCGGCAATAAGGATATCTCTTTTTCTTATGACTTTAGAGTTCATTCGTGTGGCACTTTTAATTCCTTTAACACTTTCTCCTTAGCGTTCACAATGGCACTAACAGTTTTGCGAGCTAAGCTTAGCTTACGTCCTATCTCGGCCATAGACATGCCTTGTTCACGAAGTTTAATCATATCTAACTTGGCATTTAAAGTAAGAACCTTACAACTTCTCTTTTTATTGCTACTACCCTTAGACGCCATTGTAATTACACTGTAGTAACACAAAAATATTATATAAATATACAGTTTGTAATAACTAAAAAATTGCCAGAAATACAGAGAGACGCAGAGCGCACAAAAGCTGTAAACAGACTGAATCAGCGACGAGAAAATGGCGCCGGACGCACTTCTCTGACTCAGCTGTTGAGCGCCGTATTAGCGGATCGCCATAAAGCGGAGCGCCGAAAAGCGGGGCCCTACTGTAACCAGAAAAGCATTGTCTGAAACTTACGTAGCGATTATGATGAGAAGGAGGAAAAGTTACATTTATTTGAATACCTTTATACACTAATCTCTTTGATTATTTCAACAGCCATTGTACATCCTAACACTGGCATTAAGACATACCAGATGAGCTTTCAAGTACGGAATAATTGGATACTTTCCATTCGGTGTGACCATTAATAATAATGGGTAGCTACTGTGTCAGTGGGACGTGGCTGACTCAGAACTGTAGTAGCGAATAAGCCAAGTTGCCGGACATATTAAAACATGATTTCAGAAGATAATCGGACTCGTTACAGGAACGCTATGTTGTACATTGTTTATTGTCTGAGGTATATTTGATATACGCAACATTTTGGGAGTTGGCTCTACTTCTGCCTTCAGGTAATTGGTTGTCATGATGCTGACACTTTTTCGACTTTTTCTGTGTTATTGCTGATAGTGGTGAGGATTGAACCTGGGACTTTTTAAATGTTAACCTAGGCTTTTAAATTTTGATTGAATGTCTTGAATTTTTACTGGAGAGCTACGTACACTGTCTAACATGCTTGTGGCTGTGTGTAACATTCCGCCTGGGGGCAGTTTCTGTTGTGTGCAGACCTACCATGCGCTTTGTAAATTGATTTCAGAATAATCCAAGCTTGGAAATCAGGCCATTTAGGTATCAGTGGCGACAAGTCAGCTCCCTTGTTTCTGGTGTTCTCAGGGTCGACTCTAGACTGCCCTCCTTTGGTTTATTTTTGGTCAGATGGGAAGGTAACTGGGACCGTACTCAGGGTAACAAACTTTGAGGTGTAAAACTAGTGGTTCTCCCATGGGGTTCTTGCAATTCCATACACTGTGATAAGGTCGCAGTTACTGGTGATATATCAGGTTGTCACACTGGCAAATATTAAGATTAAATTCTTTTGGGATGTTGCACTATGTAGTCTGGTAGAAGTTTACTATTGTTTTATAATGTGTGCTGCTGTCATCATTGCCCTGATGATGGAGGTAGCAAGCACCTCTGAAATGTCAGTATACGTCTACCAGACTACATTGTACAGCACCCCAGAAGACAGTCATCCTCATGGTTACTGATTTGCAGGTTTGTCATACCTGTCCTACGCACCCATTTTGTGTACTGTCGATGATGTATGACTCAGTGTCCAGCATATCCTGGCAAATGGCCCAGCATGTATTATCATATGTGAGAGGTTTTGCCTTCCATGCTCCGCCATGTGTGATAGGCTGGCTGATAAGCATTTTAGCGTTTTACAAGCCATTGACATCTTCTGCCTTTTATAACTCATTTACGTGAAACTTTTAATCGCCTTAACTAGTGGATTATTGTGCAAATAGCCATAAGAGCTGGTGCTCTTAGGAACCCAGTACTATTAAAGAGAGACGTGAGACACAGACAGCAGCGTGATGTCATAAACTTGCTTCTTTCTTTGTAAGGAAGGTTAGAAGTATAGAAAACAAAATGAAATTTAAAAAAATTGCATTTTAATTGCACAACCAAGGCCTTGCGCAGTAAAAGAGTTAGAAATACTGAAATTATGGTTATTAGTGAAAGTTTTTGCAGTTCATTTGCTGCTGTGAAGTACCGCATTGTTCGTTCAGGGGCTAAGCACAGCTGGGGACATTGCATTGTGTTAGCTGTAGTAGCAAGTTTGCACATGTAGTAACATACAGGAATAGGGAATTTTAAGTTCCCGTTCCGTGGGACTGCTGGTCAGACTCTTCGGAACTCCCAAGTTTGACGGTGTAATGGTATGTTACTGTGATGTGTGGCCAGCTTGACCCCACATAAAATTGCAAAAGGTTCTGTTGTACCCTGAGTGATTGAACAAATTCTAATAATTTACAACTTTGAGATGTGTCATGTTTCTTCAGTTTTGTTGACACACAAGCTGTAGGATATGAGAATACTGTGGAATTGGAGAAAATGTACACTGTTAGCTTAAAGTGTATGAAGATAGTACCTAAGTATGAAATCATCAATGCAATGCAAATCAAAGTAGTTTAGTACTGGAGAGAGGTAAATAGTAGCTTAATTTTCTAAGAACCTCTGGCTTGGTCATAAAGTTCGCAGTAAAAATGTAAACCCAATAAATTCATTAAACATCTTTCATCAGAACATCAGAGGACTAAAAAATGAAAGTGATGAGTTGAAACATTCTTTCGAAATAGACGGCATTACCCGGTTTCTCTGTGGCATCCCAACAATTACTCCATTCACACACAGAAGAAGGCAATGGCAAACCACTTCTGGATCATCTGCCAAGAACGTATATGAACAGGTCCCAGTCCGAGAAAATGATGGAAGGATCCTGTTCATATGGACCTGTCGTCAGACAGAACACTACAAATAAAATAAAGATGGCATTAATCCCCATATATTGTGTCTAAGCGAACGTCACATGGTTGAACAGGATTTTGCTGCACCTCACATTAGATGGTTACTCATTAGGTTCCAGTTTCTGTAGACAAAACCTGCAGAGGGGAGGAGTGTGTATTTTTGTTAAGAAAGATGAATGTTTCAACAAAATTGATATTTCACAACACAGAAGTAAATAATGAAACTATCATGCAGTTTTAGCTTCTTCTGAAGAATGAAACATGGGAATCCACATTTGTAATCACTCATTATACACAGGCATTTTCCCGGACCGCCTTAAAATATCGGTAGTACGACTGCTGTACAAGAAAGGGGACAAAACCAGTATGACAAATTACAGGCCAATTTCACTTTTAACTACCTTTTATAAAGTACTTGAGAAGATTATGTACAATAGATTAAGTCATCATATGCATGCTAACAACATATTAGTCCCTGAACAATTTGGCTTCGGGAAAGGTGTATCCACTGAATTTGCATAAATGTTAGATTTGCAATGTAGAAAATATGCAGTCGTTTCCCGGCTTTAATTATGTATGTAGCTATTCAAAAACTAAAACCACTGGTTGACATTTACTTCTTTACTTCCTCTGTTCCAGTCTGTGCTTTCCAACAGCTTTGGTAACATCAGTGCCATATATCATCTTCTGGTAGAAAAACTCGAATGTCAAGAGCTGAAGAGAAGTGCACAGAGCAGTGGCAGCCTTCCTTTGGTTGCTACGCAGCGCAAGGCTAGCATTACGACAGGTGCTGACTGCTTTAACAGTGTTCAGTGTCTTAAACGTCAAAGTGTTCTGCAAAGGTTTTGTGATGATTTAGAGTATCTGATTGATTCAGTTATTATACTTATCGGAAAGTGTTTAACTAGAATCTTTGTTTGTCTAGAACAGCGTTTCTCAACCTATGGTACGCGAACTAAGTAAGAAAATCAAAAGTTAATATGAACATAAATAACAGTTTTCCCTGAACACATTTGGTGAGTGGTACATTTAATGTGTTAAATTAGAATTAGTGGTACGCCAGCGAAAATATTGAGAACTCCTGGTCTAGAAGATTCTGTAAGAAATGAATTAATCATCTTATGGATCTTTTACTTGTCAAGTAACTCCCTCATGAGACCCATTTTACAAACTGGATGCACATTGTCGTTACAGGTGTGTTATTGTTCCCTAAATCAGAAATTGATTCCATTATTATTACAGTCCATACAAAGATCAATGAAATCATAACTGGAGACATTTGTCGCAAATAATTATGTATTTTGGGAATAGTTCTCCACAGTATGTTTACTGTGTATTCTAAAGTACAGGTTTAAGGAATGTCTTTTTTTTAATTCATCTTCTTGTCAAATGTTGGCTGACTTTTTTTAAGAATTAGCTACAGTGCGTTTCTCATTTACCTAATGATGTGAACTTTTCGGAAATGCTGTGGTGAATATTTTATCTCTTGTGGAAAGTACAGTAAAATACATTTTTTAATTACAGCTCTTCTTTTTAGTTATGGATACATTTTCATGTAATTTTATTGAGTAGTTTTGAATATTGTTTAATGTATTAGCAGGAGACTTCTGGGATATTTAAAGTTGAAATAAGCAAATAGATACGAATGTAATCAACAGAGAAATGAATAGACAGACAAACTCTCATATTATTTTTTGTCTGGTTTGGAGCAGTTAACAAGATTCATATTTTTGGAAGAATAACTTAAAGTTAAAAAGAAAGTGACTCTATTGAGATGTTACAGCATGACAGTTTTAATGAATTTGAACCTTGCTTGTGTACAGGTGTAGTTGACCGCAGCCCAACGAGTGACTTGGAATTTGAACAGGGTGGTTCACCACTCGTTTCTGTGCCAACGATACCTGTTGTACACCTTCTGAATGACTCACAGCTCTTTGAAAAGGTACTCAAACAGTTCTGCCTTAAAAATTTAATTAATAATGTGAACACACTTGCTGAAACTTATGTGAATAACTCAATGCAGTGATGGTCATTAATATTACTGAGTGGTGGTGGTGGTGGTGGGGGGGTTGATACTGCTAGAAGACAAACGCTGTGTGACCCAGAGTGGTATGTTAATTAGCAGCGTAAATTCACTTAGTATCATAGAATGCTTAGTGTTTTGTCTGTCCCATAGGATTGATGAATACGACGAATTTACTTGTTTTGCAGAAAGATTGAAAAGCTGAACCCTGATGATAATTAATTTCTTGTTTTACTCATTAGAAAAGCTGAACCCTGATGATAATTAATGACTTGTTTTACTCATTTTTTGTGTAGTTTGGTGATGTGGATATGCAGATGGAGTCAGAAAATGAGGAATTGCAGAGACGATCGAGTGGTGGTGGAATTGGAGACAAGTACCTAATGGCCAGAAGACATACCGTAGGCCCTGGTGACACAGTACATGAACAGGTATGTTCTGTATGTGTTGAGTCTTCTCCAGTTCTGAACGCATTAGCGTCTGTCTAACTGGCCCATAATAGAAAGAACTTTTTGTATATCATACTCTTCCACTTGGTTGAGCTAAGAACTTTAACCTCTGCTCTTCCACGGTCACAGAGGCCTGACATTATAAATATATAAATTTCATATGCAGTTTCAGCAGTATCTCCCTCGTACTTGTAATGTTTATCATGTGTATGGGAGTAATAGACAATACCATATTCAAGAAGCCATTTCTCTCATCTTTTGGCAGTGTTTTGAATTGTGATTCAGTGTTTCTTCATGTTTTTTTATGGCTGTGAATCTGAAAAGGGAAAGGCCCTTATTTTACTGGAAGGACGGGAGCTGTGCAGGACAAATATCATTTGGTTTGAGGCTGAGAGTTAATGAAGGCAACAGTGATATACTCTTTTATACGTGTCTACAGTTAATGTAAACGTGTGTGTGTTGTTATCAAGAGCTTGCTTGAATTTAGGTTTTTGAGGCCCACTACATAAAACTGGATGGAGTTGGTCAGCCCTTGGATATCCTGCCCAATACAAATCTGCCACTGAACCTCCCACTTGTTCAACACCAACCCCCACAGAATTTCTCAGTCAAGGATCAGCATCTGCTGAAACCACCTCCTGTTATGGGTGCAAGTAAGTTATTGTGATTTCACGTACTTCTCTGTTTCTAAATACGCTGTAAACAGTTCTTTCCCTCGTGTGTAGATCGGTAATGGTCTCTTTATTGAACACTTATCTGACCAAATTGTGCGTCATTTATTGTATTTATGAGTGAATTTTATTGGACAAAGAAATCAGTCTGAACTACATAGTTATGGGATTCCAGGATATTATTTCATACAAATTAATGCCACCAGTTATATATTTTTTTAATTTTTCTACTTTAATAAATGTTTCACTTTAACATTTTTGTAGGGGTTACAACTTGATAAACAGTTTCTTTAGATGATTACACAGGTATATCTTTCAGTTGGAGGTTTTGGAAGAAGAGCTTCGGATGGTGGAGCCAATCTTCAGATGTTCTTCAGCAGACAGTTGGAAGGAGTCTGGAGTCAACCTGGAAGTCAAGAACAATTACAAATGGTATGTAAACTTATGAATATGCTGAATGACAGGGGTAAGATTGTCAGTAGAACTGATTTGTCATTGTGATGTTAGTTTTAATATATTTTTAAAAATATTATTGAGGTTCATAGGGTCATATCAGTTGTCATGTATGTTGATTACCTTATTCTATCGGGGTTTTTTGGGTAACATTCCGATAGAAGCAATTTTTCAGATGTCTTTTTCATGGGATGAGAATGCTGGGATGTAAATATCTTAAAAACTTAATTTCCAGTGAAGAATGAACTTTGCAGAAGTGTACCAAACGCAGGGAAGTTGTGTAACACAGTTTCAGAAAAATGTAAAAATTGATGTGTTGAGTGAATCTTAAAGTTAATTACATTATCTGTGTAAACATCTGCCCAGTATCAAAAATCATACTCTACAGTACAGCTCTGTGCATGTGCAGTGAATATTCTTCGAAAGTTAAAACAACAGTCACTCCTTGTTTGCTTCCTTGATTGTTTGTACGAGTATGTATTTTTAAGTCTGTCATTAGCCTGTTATTTGTTGCTGTGTCACAGTGGTTTTAGTGTTCTCTGGATTGTTCTGGTTATATTGTAAATTGCTAGAACAGGACTGACATTTCCTAGTCCAATAGTATTGCTTTTTCTGTATCCTCTCCCATCCTTTAGGCCATGACTGTTCATTTATCTTATGGGCGATATATACGAATGTTGTGTCTCTTTGAGCTGCATGGATTGTACAAAATCTGCAGATGTTAAGACTCAACTTGTATTGATTCCATAATTTCAGGAATGTATGACAGGTAGAAATGATAGCATTTCAGACTAGATCACTCGAATGCAGTTCTACTGACATATATGACATTTAACTGTTCTCTCAGCTTCATAAATATTTAGTCCTTTGTGATGGCGATCATTGCAAGAATGGATGGATATATGCGTATGGTTGGCATGGTAAAATCTGTTTCTGTTGTGTTGGAGACTTGAAGATGTTAATGTTCTTTTGCATCTGCCTTTGAAATTTCTGCATGCATACGCCCTAGTAGTAATTAACGTTGTTTTGAAAGCTCCAGCCCGGCAGTCCAACTTTGTCGCAGAGGTCTCAGCCCATCCCAGCTTCCACCTCACAGAATGGTGTTGAAGCAGCATCACACCTGCCACCAGCTGAAAACACGGGGCCTGCTCCAGCAGAAGATCTGCCTGATCCATATGCAGTTGCAAGGTGAACTTATTTTGTATTGTCTTCATATGTTTAGAGCAGTCCAGAAAGATTAAAATGTGAAATGCACATTTAATTGCAAATTTTAGGATCTTCTTACATATCTGTTGTTTGCACAAATCCAGTGGTATTCACCGTGTTTTTAAGGTAAAGTGACTTTTTCATGGAATAGTGTCTGAAGTAATCAACATCTTGACATGACATGTGAAATGGATGTAATTGATTAAAAAATTTCTCCTGCTTATTACAGAGTTAGTGTTTTCTGGTCAGTCGATCATTTGGTACAAAAAAAAATTGTATTTGTTGTTATTATCTGCCAGAAGGTCTACATACTGGATGTGGTCATGTTTGTGTTCATCAGTAGTATATATGTCTCAGTTATGTACAATTTGAGCAGGGAGTGCAATTTTCATTGAGGCTTCGAGTGTTTATTTTTACCAGTACTTGGTCACTCATGGAATAAGGGAAGA